GAGAAGGAAAGTGTGTGAGGGAAAGTTTATGTGAGAGAAAAAGTGTGCGTGAGAGAGGGAAAGTGTGTGAGAGGGGAAAGGTGTATGTGAGAGAGAACGTATGTGTGAAGGGAAGCGTGTGTGTGGGAAAGTGTATGTGTTGGGGAAAGTGTGTGTGAGAGAAAATTGTGTGTGAGGGAAAGTGTGTATGCGAGAGGGAAAGCACATGAGAGCAAATGTATGTGAGAAAGTGTGTATGAAAGGGAAAGCGTGTGAGGGAAAGTGTGTGTTGAGGGAAAGTGAATGTGAGAGGGAAAGTGTGTGTGAGGGAAATTGTGTATGTGAGGAAAAGTGTGTGAATGCCAGTGTGTGAAGGCATCTGAAGGTGCGTGTGGGGGTAGAGCCATAGTGAGCCAAGAGAAATATTGGGGGCAAATCCTCAGAACAGTTCCTCCGCCTCTGGGTGCCCAGGAAGAGAAGGGAGTAGCCTCAGGGTCAGGGAGAATGTCTATGCAGGCACCTGTCATCAGTTCGGCCTGTGCCCGCTCTCTCTGCAAGGTGTGACTCACCCATTCACCCACTCTGGCACGCCATCAGGATGTGCAGAAATAGGAGGGAAGAGAGCAGACAAAGGCAGATGTCATCACTTTGTCGATGGTTGATTTCTTCTCCTTATGTAGCTCAGGATTCCCGTTTCAGCCGAGGGCTAACTTCAAAACTAGGACCTTTGCTTGTGTACTTGATCCTAAACCTACCTGTGGCTTAGGATGTGATTTTCTGCAGATGTACGTTAGTGGATTGGTGACACAATACTAGTATAAAGCACTTAATTACCATTTTGCTGAACTATGAATCAGTGTGTTGTTATTTGCATTTTAACAAAAAATGTTCACGTCTGGAGAAATATTTTAGGGCTTTACTCTTCAGTGAAGGACTTTAGGTAACACTTCATTGAAAGGAGGGTGAATTTTATTTTATTTATTTATTTATTAAAAAAAATTTTTTTTTCCAACGTTTATTTATTTTTGGGACAGAGAGAGACAGAGCATGAACGGGGGAGGGGCAGAGAGAGAGGGAGACACAGAATCGGAAACAGGATCCAGGCTCTGAGCCATCAGCCCAGAGCCCGACGCGGGGCTCGAACTCACGCACCGCGAGATCGTGACCTGGCTGAAGTCGGACGCTTAACCGACTGCGCCACCCAGGCGCCCCGGAAGGAGGGTGAATTTTAAAATCTATACCCTTGTCTCTCACAATGCCTGCACATTCCATGACTAGGCATGTTCCTCCTGGCACCTAGTGCACAGGCCAGTGACCTGGCCTCAGCATACAGCCCCTCCCTGCAACTCTCCAGGCCTCACACGCGCTGAAGATGAGAAGACTGAAGCTGGGCATCCACAGGCCCATCTGTGCCCACCCTGTGCAGGGGGGGTGGGGCAGTCTCAGGGACACCGGCAAGACACCTGGCCGCTTGGTTCTGAAACACGAACCAGCTGGAAATGGCATGCTTCATCCACCAGGGGGCAGGTAACGTGCTAAATGTCAAAGCCAAGGTAATGTCTTCTCATTTCAAGGACTGTGCTGGGCTAAACAAGACCAGCTGATGAATAAGGCAAGGAAACAGCAGGGGCACCCCATCCAGGGCCTGGCAGGCCGGAGGGACTGGGCTGAGGCTGGCCTGACAAAGGCTGCCCATCAGTGCTCACATTTTCACTCAAATGTAACACCCCCAAAGATGACTGAAGGCACAGAGTTGTGGGGCAGTTGTTGGCAGGGTGGGTAGGCCTGGACATCA